AGGGTCAGGCGGGGGCGGCGTGGGAGACGGAAGATTTCCTCCTCCTCTCCGGCGGTGGTGGTACCGAGGGTGTCCAGGCGGTCCCGGTCAGCCAGGTCTTAGGCGATCCCAACGACGACTGGACTGGACTGATTGCTCCGGGGAGCGGCTCGTTTGCCGCCAGCCGCGGAGGCGAGGTCAGCCTCAAGCAGCTCACGCCCGATGAACGTCAGAAGTTTCGAGCTGCGGATAAGAAAGAATGGGAGGCTATGATGGCCACCGGGGCGGTGGAGGTCATACCTCCCTCCAAGGCGGATGCCGTGAGGAAGGCCCAGCCGGAGCGGATCAGCTCGAGTCGAATGGTCAGGCGCTGGAAGCCCGTGGAGGGTGCCGGATCGGAGCCCTCGGCCAAATCCCGCTGGTGTGTTCACGGACACCGCGACCCAGACTCAGGATCTCCAGGTCTACGCCCCGACTCCCCAGACGACCAGCATCATGTTGTTCGTCCAGGTGCTCATGAACCTGAGCATGCTGGCGGACGTAGCCGACGTCAAAAACGCTTTTTGCCAGTCGGACCCCGTGACGCGGTCGCAGGGAGACATTTACGTCGAACCTTGTGAGGGCATAGATCTGCAGAAGGGATCACTGATTCTACTGCGAGTCAACGTCTACGGCCTAGACGACGCCCCCGTTGCATGGAGACGCACAGTAGTCAAGTTCTTCCAGCAGCACGGGTTCATCAAGAGTCTGCTTGAACCTTGCTGGTGGGTGCGGTACGGTTCCCGGGGCCAAATCTCGAACATGATCCTCCTTGAAGTCGACGACTTCTTCATCGCCAGCGCCGGCCCGACGACTAGGAGCTGGTTACGACGGACGCTGAAATCTCGATTCAAGTTCGGCAAGTACAGGAACTGTCACGAGGGCTCAGTCGACTTCGCCAGCAGACGAGTGACGATTGGCCCCAACCGAGCTGTGCTGGACCAAGAAAAATATATTGGAGGGGGTCAAGCCCATTTCCGTGGCCCGGGGTCGTCTTGCCCGCAAAGACTCCCCCCTCGAACATTCGGAGTTCAAGGCTCTCAGGTCGCTGGTTTACAAATTCAACTGGGTAGGACGTGAGACGAGGCCCGAGGCCGCAGGAGTAGCATCAATTCTCGCCAGCAGGTTAAAGGCGCCGACTACCGGAGACGTGTCGCTGGCCAACCGTCAGGCCGTCACCTCCGGTCCACAGCCTCTCGAGGGCTGACGGCGTGGAGGCTTGATCCCGAGAGAATGGCTTTCGTCTCGTTCTCAGACGCTGGCGGCGCGGGCGCCAAGGACGACCTGCTGGGCGACAAGGGCCTCCCCGACGACCCAACGCAGGGGGCATGGGCGGTACTTTCGGCGGACGCCGACGTCCTCAGCAACCTGGCTGTCCCGGCCTCGATGCTGGCCTGGAGAAGCTCCAAGCTCCGTAGAAAAGTGCCGTCGACTCTTGCCGGCGAGACCCAGGCCCTCAGTGCTGCAGGTGCTGAGGTTGAGTATCTACAGATACTGTGCCGGGGCGTGGTCTTCCAGGGCGTCAACGTGCAGGACCACCGTAGGGGATCTGGACCATGCACGACCATACTACGCAGCGACTGCCGACTAGGCGCTCGCGAGCGTCAGGTCCACGTAGTCGACGCCAAAAGTATCTACGACACCATGATGAAGGAAGGCAACGCCAGCGCCCGGGACAGGAGGACGGCAATAGACATGGCCATTATATGCTCCGCCCTGGAGGAGGCCAAGGGGAGGATCCGATGGATCCCCCACGGCCGGATGCCAGTCGACGCCCTTGCCAAAGACGACATCACAAAGGGCAACGCAGCACTATTCGACCTCATGATCAGTGGGAAGCTGATTCTTGTGGACGAATCCGAGGAGGTAGAGCGCCGACGCACGACACCAGGACTCAAGAGCAGGACCCAGGCTGCTTCCAGGAAGACCCTAGAGGGCCAGCAGTTGGTGACGTGGCGGGAGTTCCAAGACCTGGTCCAGGAGGTCGGTGGTGGTGGTGGTGGTCCCTCCTCTCTCTCTGTCTCTCTCTCTCTCTCTCTCTCCCCACCTCCGTCCTATCGTCCGATGTCATGTTTCAGTGAGTCTGTTGCTTGAGTGTCAGGATGTGTTTCCTGTTTTCCTTTCTCGGTTTACGCAGTCGTCTTGGGGACGTACTGCGGACGGCGTAGGCCTCAGGGGCCTAGCGCTTCGGGGCTGCAAAACCTGCGAGAAAGTCTTAACTATGAAACAGGTGAGCATAATTTGTGTCTCAGGTTTTGCATTTAGTGTGCGTGTCATGATCTCACGCGTACCCTTGTTTTTGGCTCAAGGGAAAACATTTACTGCGCTTGCTGCTGCCACAGGGTCACATTGCAAAACATTTTCGGGAATGCTGTTCAAGTCTCTGACGCTGTCTTGGCACTCTCTTGGGTCGTCTTCGTGTCCTCCTGGCTGCACCTGGCACCACTGTAAAATCAAGGTCCCCATGAGTTCACTTGTCCGCCTTAGCTAAAGCGTCAGCGTGCGCGCGCCAAGCAAAAGCCAAAAGAGAGGACCTGCCCAAGCCTTTCGAGCGTTTTGCCTCCAGATGGCTCCAAGTCTCTCGCAAAGGCTCTCGAGGCGCCCCCCAGATGCACTCAGAGACTCCCGGGAGGCTCCCAGGAGGCACCAAAAACTTCCCAACAGGCCCCGAAAGACTCCCAAGATGCCGCCGTAAGGCCCCCAGAGGTGTCCCAACAGTCCACGGCCTCTATCCCGGAAACTTCTGATCTACGGCCCTGGCATGTTAGTTCGAAAAAAGGGAATTCCAAGAATTCGATTTTTTCAAACGCACCCCTGCTTATTTTTCGCAACAGGCCATAATTAAGGCCCCCGTCACCACCGACTAAAGATCCCAGGAAGCTTTCGAGGGCCCCAAATCATCAAACACTTCAAGGAAATCTATGGTTTTGTGGTTTCCGCATTTCCCCTTTTATACGCTTCCGAGGCTTGCGCAGGGACTCCGAAAGGTCGTTCGATGCACAAGGCATTTCGACAATTGAGATTTTATGCGTTAGCCTGTCGAGCCTAGCCAGAACTTGAGTGCATGCGAGGCGCGCGATGGTTTTTGTATGTATATATATATATGTCTATATATACACACATGATTGAAGCACACGAACTCCTATACGACGACTCTCCGCCTCTCACGTTCTAAAGGTCCCATGCGTGGGACTAAAAAGTAGAGACACCAAACAGACATAAAACTAGATGCTGGTTGGTTGTTATGGTTATTCTGGCTTTTATCTAACAGCGAAGGTTGATAGCTTTCTAGTGGGCTCAAAAGAGAGCATCTTGACTCCCCAGGGGGGTCTGGGCGGATGCCGGAGAGAATCCGGGGACTCCCCGGGACTCCCCAGGGGGGTCTGGGCGGGTGCCGGGGAGGATCCGGGGAGTCCCCAGAACACAATTCCCAGGCCACATTTTGAATGCTCGGAGCCAACTGTAGGCCACTTCGTGTTCTTCGTGTTCCCAGAACACCATTCCCAGGCCACATTTTGAATGCCCGGAGCCAACGGTAGGCCACTTCGTGTTCTTCGCGTTCCCAGAACACCATTCCTGTACCATATTTTGATTACCCGAAGCCAACTGTGGGCCACTTCGTGATCTTCGTGTTCCCAGAACACCTGTCCTGTGCCATATTTTGAATGCCCGAGCTGAGGCAGGCTGAGGCCGAGGCAGGCTGAGGCCGAGGCAGGCTGAGGCTGAGGCTTAGGCAAGCCGAGGCAGGCTGAGGCTGAGGCTGAGGCAGGTTGAGGCTGAGGCAGGCTGAGGCTGAGGCTGACGCAGGCTGAGGCCGAGGCAGGCTGAGGCTGAGGCCGAGGCTGAGGCACGCTGAAGCTGAGGCAGGCTGAGACTGAGGCTGAGGCAGGCTGAGGCTGAGGCTGAGGCTGAGGCAGGCTGAGGCTGAGGCTGAGAGGCTGACGCTGAGGCTGAGGCAGGCTGAGGCAGGCTGAGGCTGAGGCAGGCTGAGACTGAGGCTTAGGCTGAGGCTTAGGCTGACGCAGGCTGAGGCCGAGGCAGGCTGAGGTTGAGGCTGAGGTAGGCTGAGGCTGAGACCGAGGCAGGCTGAGGCTGAGGCTGAGGCAAGCCTAGGCAGACTGAGGCTGAGGCTGAAACTGAGGCAGGCTGAGGCATCCGTAGGAATCCACAGGAATCCTTAGGAATCCCTAGGAATCCTTAGGAATCCGTAGGCATCCTTGGGAATCCGTAGGCATAGTTAAGCATCCTCAGGAATCCTTAGGAATCCTTAGGATTCCCTGGGAATCCTTAGGAATCCCTAGGAATCCCCAGGAATCAGGATTCCAAAGGATTCCCAAGGTTTCCTAAGGATTCCTATGGATTCCTAAGGATGCCTAAGGATGCCTTAGGAATCCATAGGAATCCTTAGGATTCCATTGGATCTTAAGGCCGTTGCCACTGCGACTGTCATTGCGAATGCGACTGCGACTGCGAGAACAGCAGAATTCTACAACTGGATTCTCACCTGAATCTTAAGGGGAATGCTTCCAGATATGCGTATACACATCGCTGTCAGGTTGCTTTGCCGGGATAATTTTCAGATTTTCCCGCTGGGAGGCCTGCTGGACCAGATCCTCCAGTTCTGGTTCTTGGTCATTCTGGATGAGCGCCGCGCAACCAGAAAAAAAACGAAAACCAGAATCAGCGTCCGCGCCCCTCAGCTGGCCAGGTGAGCAGCAGAAAAACCAGACCAGCCAGAACAACAAGAATCTGGTTTTCTTGCTTTTCTGGCTCCGCGCGGCTCAGCCAGAAAAGCCAGACGCCCCCCCCCCCCTGGAGGCCCCAACGCTGGCCCAAGAGGCTCCCAAAGCGCCCAAGGCTGTCTGGAAGATGGTCCGCAGCCACTCTGGCGCAAGGCCCAGGGCCATCCTCTCGACTCGGAGCCTTCCGGGGAAGCCCGAGAACTTCCCGGGCGCTGCCCGCACCTGCGCCCTGCTGACGTGATGGCCGCGGCCCAGGCCGTCGCCGGCCCTCGCGCCTGGTGCCGCGTCGCCGGCACGCACGTGCACCTGGGCTTCCAGGCGGCATGCTGTGCAAAGGTGGGGCCCTGCGGGATAGGGCCCTGAGCATAGAGAGGGGTCCAAGGTCGGATTTGCTCCGCCAGAGGTTCCTCGTCCAGGGGGCCGAATGCCTCAGGGCCCCACCTTTGAACCACCGGCAGGCGCCCTGCGGCCCCGGGAAGCCGGGGCTTCCGCTCAGCTCGGGCTGCTGCTCCCCATGCCTGGGGGGCCTGGCCTGCGAGTCCGAACGGCCCACCGCCCTGCCGCTGAGCTACTGCGGAGGCGCGGCGCCCGACAGGCTCAGCTTCCAGAAGGACGCGTCCGAGAGGATCAGCTGCGGCTCCATGGCCTGGGGCGCGCCGCAGCTGGAGCCGCCGGGGCGGTGGACCTTCGGCTCCGAGGTGGGCACTGCTGAGCTGATGGGCGGCGGCGAGGATGGCCCCAGCGACGGCGAGGACGACGACGCGGACGGCGGGGACGAGGGCTTCCCGTCGAAGATCCTGGTGTACCCCAGCACGGACGACGAGGGCGAGGGCGAGCCCCAGCTGAAGGCCGCGTGGGAGCTCTGGCCCCGCCGCGCGCCGCCGCCGCGGCGCCGCCTCGCCCACGCCCCCGCCGCCCTGGCGCCGGCGGCGCTGCCGGGTCCCGGCGCCCGGGCGGGGGCCATCCTGGGCACGCTCCCCCGCGAGACCCGCCAGGCTGCGCCGCCGCGGCGCCCGCTGGGCATCCACGCCCCCGTGGCGGCTCCCGCGGCGACGGGCGGGGCACCGCCGCTGCGAGTCCCGCGCGTCTCGGCCGCTGCCGCGGCGGCCACCGGTGCCGCGGTGGCCAGTGCCCCCACGCATCGGGAGGCCCAGGACCAGGAGGTTGCCCACGAGGGGGGGGCAAGCCGGAGGGATCGGCGCGAAAGTCGGCCCCAGATCACATCTTGGTGGTGCGCAACTTGCACGTCCGCGCGTCTCAGCAGGAGTTCCTCGACGAGGTCAACCGCAGTGGCTTCGTGGACAAGTACGATTTCGCATACATCCCAAGGAGCTTCAAAGACGGCTCCGGGAAAGGCAACGGCTTCATAAATTTCAAGACTCCAGAGGCGGCCAGGGCTTTTGCGGCCGCGTGGCACCGCTCCAGGCGCCTCGGCATGGAGGACGAGACTGGCCGAGTGGTCCCCCTCAACGTCTCCAACGCTTCTCTGCAGGGCCTCGAGGCAAACCTGCGCAATTGGACTGGCGCGCGGGTGACTCGCGTCAAGAATCCAGAATTCTTGCCTTTCGTCCTCAGGGACGCAGAGCCACAGCCGCGTGCCTGCGTGCTGGAGACCCCAGGTTCTGCCGCCATCGATGCGACGAGGCCTCGCTGAGACCACAGGGCTTCTGCCAATTGTACCTCGGATGTGTCGTAGAATTGGTATTGGGCTTGGGCCCAAATTGCTTTTTACAGTGGCCACGGGATATCCACAATTACGCCCGGTTTGGGCCACGTCGGTCTTACCGCCCAGCCTCCGACAGGCGCGCTGGTGCGTCGCAGTTGAGCGCGTTAGTGGCTCTCCGCTGCCGCGACCCATAGAGACGTATGTAGCTTGCGCTGGGACTCCACCTCCTGAGGAGAAGAGGGAGGAGGGAGGCTGGGACGGGCCCGAACGACGAATCTGAGCACGGCAGTGGTGTGGAGATGTGTTCCTAGAGCGGTACATGCGCCCCTGACAAGAAGGATCATGTAAGTCGCCAGCGCCGAGGCGAGAGCAGGATCCCAGAGTGATTTGAAAGGCTGTCTCAGGCGGGAACGCCATGCCTGAATATTTGTCGAGGCTATCGAGGAGGACGACGACGACAATGAAACCGGCGACGTGCGGGCCGATTAGGCGCAGGATCTTGGAGCCACCCCGGCTCTAAAAGTGTCGTGTTGGGGATACTGTGGTCTGGCTCTGCTTTTCTGTGTGCGTGCTGGGTGGATGGGGAGCTCCCTCGCCTGGAGCTCCCGCGCCCTCAGCATCGTGCGCCGCATTCTCCTTGGGCGAGCATGCAATCTGCGAGCCCATGCTCTCGCTCGAGGGCTCCGTGCCCGCCAAGGTTCGGGGAGTTTTTCTCGTCCTCCTGCAGCGCGTCAACCTGCTGCAACCCTGGGCCGCTCAGCCCTGGCGACCGCTCGTCGCGCACCTCCGGGGGCTGTTTCTGACCCCTCTCCTGGCAGCCCTCGATCCTCTTCCCGTGACCCGTGGACGAGACGCTCGAGCTGCGGGCCGGGTACGGTGCACGTCGCCGACGACTTCGACTGCGCCTGCTTTGGACCTTCCTGATCCGCTCGTGTGGCATACGTGACCGGGGCCAGAGGAGGAGGAGGAGGAGGAGGAGGAGGAGGAGGAGGAGGAGGATCAGGAGCAGGAGGACGACGATGGTTCGGACGACGCGCTGGTGCGTCACAGTTTGGCGCGTTAGGGGCTGTCTGCTGCCGCGGCCCACGTAGACGTACATAATTTTCGCTGGGTCTCTTCCTCTCGAGCAGGTCATTTCGTATATCTCATTCGTAGACATATCATCCTCTGTTTTTGTTTGCTTCTACCCCATCGTGCCGTGTGTCCGTCTCCTCTCTGCCTGCTGATACACCAACGCGCTGGTTCGCGCATCATACCAGCAGTTTTTGCAGCGCTCACTCTAGCTGCGCGCCTTAAATGCCCATGTCTTGAACCCGAGCGAGATGTCAGAGCCGCTCGTTGCTGGGCGCCACAAGCCAAGACTTGCTTCGGGATTGTCTCGAGGTGTCTGGGGGCTGGCGGAGGGGGGTCGCGGCGCCTTTTTTCTGCGGTATGAGTGGTGAGGGAGTTCCCTCGAAAGGAGCTCCCTCGCCTGCAGCACCGTGCACCGCCTTGCCCTGGGCAAGTACTCAAGCTGCGCTGCTCGGGGAACCTGCTCTCCCTCGAGGGCTTGGGGAACCGAGCGCATGGTCTCCCTCGAGAGCTCGGGGATCACTTCTTTTTTCGTTTTGGCGGGTGAATTGCTTCACCCTGCGTGCACGAACGCGAGCGTGGCGACGAGCGACGAGGGTGGGGAGTGGCTGGGAGGATTCGATGGGCGCGCGACCAGTATTCGGAGCCACCCTGGCTCTAAAGCATGTCGTGCTCGGAACGCTGTGCTCTGGCACGGAGACGCCCCTCACACACGCGGACAGGGCCGGCGGATCTGCTGCGTGCGTGCTGGGTGGAGAGGGGGCTCTTTCGCCCGGAGCTCCGGGGCCCGCAGCAGCGTGCGCCGCCCTGAGAACTCCCGTTGACGCAACAGCAGGAGCCCGCCATCCCGGCCCGGCCGGCGAGAGCCCCTCGCCGCGCCTCGCGAGGGCCTGGCCCCGCCTCGCCCGCTGCCTCGGCCGCTCCCCTCCCTCCGCCTCGCCCGCTGCCCAGAGGATCTATGGGCATCCTCCTCCTCCTCCTTCCTCCTCCTCCTCCTCCTCCTCCTCCTCCTCCTTTCCCCTTTCTCCTTCCTGCGGCCCAGCTGGAGCTGGGCCCGTCCGGCCGCCGCCGCCCAGCGGCCGGGCAGGGTCAGAAGGTGGTCGCGGGCCAGCTGCGCCGGCGCCTCTTCTGTCGAGGCCTGGGGCGTCTGCCCCTGCGCCCTCACTCTCCCGCCCGCCGGCCAGGACACGGTCCACGGGTATTAGGTACCCACGCGGCCGCTGCGGTTTCTGCAGTCTCTGTCTGAGCTGCCCTGTCACACCCACCGCGCACGGCGGCTGCCCTTTTTGCGGAGGCACTCCCCAGGATCCTGAGCGTGAGGCTCTTTACCCTGAGTGCGAGGCCTCCGCCCCCGCTTCCCCTCCCCGCACCTCCCCCGTCCTCCTCGTCCTCCTCGTCCTCCTCCTCCTCCTCCTCCTCCTTCTCCCTCCTCCTCCTCCTCCTCCTCCTCCTCCTCCTCCTCCTCCTCCTCCTCTCTTCATCCTCCTCCTCCTCCTCCTCCTCCTCCTCCTCCTCCTCCTCCTCCTCCTTCCTCCTCCCCCAAGAAGCCCAGGGTGCAGCTTCTCCCCTTCATCCCCCTGGCCCAGCTCCTCGCAGATTTAGCCCAGGAGCAGCAGCAGCAGGAGAGGGAGGAGGGCAGGTAGGGCTGGAGTGGGGAGCGTGCGCGGGAGGGAGTGACCCCCCCCGCGCGCGGCCCGATCTCGCCAACCAGATCTCCCAGGCGCGCTCCGCGCCTCCGCGCCGCCGCGCGATTGCAGCCAAGACGGCAGAACCCCCTTTCAGGATGAATCCTCCTCCTCCTCCTCCTCCTCCTCCTCCTCCTCCTCCTCCCTGGCCAGCTGGAGCAAAGAGGCGTCCCCATCTCATCACATGTGAAGGGACGATATTTCTAATCCACTTTGTCTCCCAAGGGCGTCCGCGTCGTCGCAGCGCTGTTAGCAGGATTTTGTTTCCTTGCCACGTGCTTGCGTATGGCTCCCCTGCCCGTTTGATGCTTCTTACCTAACAGCGAAGACTGATAGGTTTCTAGTGGTATCAAAAAAAAGGGCTCCAAGACGGGCTCAGCTCCCCATGACGGGCCAAGAGGGACCCGGAACTGTCGAAATGGGCCCTCGGACGGGCCAAAAAAGGCCTTAAAGGACACCCTCAAGACGGTCCAAGAGGCCGCCGAGAATGCCCCCAAAGGGCAAAACTGAAGCATTTCCTGTGGAACAGCGCATACTTCCAGGATGCTCGCTTTTTCAATCCTGACCGCGGCCACGACGGCAAAGGCTCCCCAAATCGGCCCCAGACGGCCCAAGAGGGCCCCAAGACGGCCTGAAGAGAGTTTCAAGCAGCACATGAGGGCTCCAAGACGACCCAAGAGAGTTCCCAGGGGGCCCAAGGGGGCCACCAGAGGATCCCTACATGGTCGGAGATGGCCCCAAGAGGGCCCCAAGACGGGCTCAGCTCCCTATGACGGGCCAAAAGGGACCCAGGACGGCCGAAATGGGCTCCCAGACGGGCCAAAAAGACCCAAAAAGGCTCCCTCAAGACGGTCCAAGAGGCCGCCGAGAAGGCCTCCCAAAGGCAGAAGTCAAGCATATCCGACGGAAAAACGCATATTTCCGGGATATTCGCTTTTCAGTCTTACTAGCGGCCACGACGGCCCCAAAGGTACCCAAAATCGGCTCACGGCCCAAGATGCCCCCAAGAGGGCGCCAAGACGGCTTGTAGAGAGCTTCAAGCAGCACACGAGAGCTCCAAGACGACCCAAGAGAGTTTCCAGGGGGCCCGAGGGGGCCACCGGAGGATGCCTACACGGTCGGAGAGGGCCCCAAGAGGGCACCAAGACGGGCTCAGCTCCCCATGACGGACCAAGAGGGACCCACGCGGTACAAATTCGCAGCGAGAGACGGGTTCGCCCTTCATTCCGTTGTAAACTTCAACGATGGCGATTTCGAGAACATGCTGACTTTAGTCTCTTTTATGTAGTAGTGGCAGGAAGCCATGGGGGCCAGCCGTGTACAGTGCACCGGAATGGTAGTTTGGTCTTCGCGCGTCCACCATGGACACCCGCGACGTGGGGAGGGGGACAGCCGGCCCAAGAGGCACCCAGGACCGCCCAAGCCGGCCGCAGAGAGCGCCAACAGAGGCCCCGCGGGGGGAATTCGAACGCACATTTCGAGGCCTCCGCCCTAAGAGGACCCCGACGATCGCCAGCATGCCCCCAGGATGCCCCAAGACGGCTCCAAGAGGACACTCAAGAGAACCCGAGAGGGCCCCAAGACGGCCCAAGAGGGCCCCAAGACGGCCCAAGAGGAACCCAGGACCGCCCAAGAAGGTCCCAAGAGGGGCTCATGGGGGGTGGAATGCGAGCCCATATTTCGAGGCCTCGGCCCCACGATGGCCCCGAAGTTCGCCAGCAGGCCCCCGAGGAGTGACCCCCCCGAGCGAACCCAAGAGGGCCACGAGAGGCCTCGAAGAGGTCCCGAAAAGCGTCCCACGAGGCTTCACCATTGTTTCCAACAGGCTGCCCAGAGGTTTCCCCAGAGACGCGAACAGGCATTCACGAAGTCTCACACCAACAACCCAGGCTCGGTGGCAGGATGTGCAGAAGGCCACCAGGAGGGGCACACGTGGACGAGGGGCACGGATGCCCGTCCTCTTTGTGTATTCCTCCTGCTGTTCGTCTTCAAGGTTTCCACTTCTCCTTCTGCTCCTGCCCCTCCTTCCCGTTCTGCCCTCGTCTTCGCCGCCGTCATGCTCCTGGACTCTTCTTCCCTTCCTCGACCTCCAAACCGCCGCCCCCCTCGTTTTCTTCGTCTTCCTCCTGGAGTCTCCTGTGCTCAGGCGAGGGCTCTTCACTACGTGTTTCCGCAGCGCATCCGCGCTAAAGTCATATCCGCAACCGTCGCCCAGCCCTCGGCATCTCACTGCGAGCTGGGATTCAGGAGAACCTGAGCGCGCGAAGCGCGCGCGGTGGCTCTAGTATATATATAGTAAAAAGAATAATATTAATAATAATAATAATAATGATAAGGGTGCCCTTGCCAGGACTCGCATCCTGTTTTTCACCAGGGAAAATCTTGGGTGGTTTTTGGCCTTCGAACAACAACACCAACAACAGCAACAACAGCAGCAGCAATAATAGCATTTGCAAGAACACCAGCAAACACAACATCAACAACAACAACATCAGCAACAACAACGACAACAACACCACCAAAAACACTCATTTTAAAACTGTTCGCTCGTGTCTGCTCGCGTGCCACTCAACACGTATATCCCATACCCTCGATACCCTCACATTTCGTCTCCGATCATTGCCCATTTTGGGGTAGATCTTTCTTAAATCTTTCTTCCCCGAACGTGTATTTTTGTGCAGCCCCTGAGGCAGGGGAAGAGAGGACGGATGGAATGAAAAAACAGGGGGGAGGGAGGAGGGTGAAACACGAGCGAGAGTAGCAGGAGGGGGGCTAGGAACAGAGAGCAGGTGGCAGAACCAGACGGGCAGGTTCGGCGAAGAAGGCCCTAACGGGCGGGTCGGGAAGGCGGGCCCAGGCGGCCAGTTCGAACAGGCGGGTTGCTGAAGCGTGCGTCCTGCATGAATAGCGAGGAAGTCTCGAGCGATAGCGCGATTCTCAAATAATTCGTGAGGAAATCCACAGCGAGAGAGTAACTCCTGAGTATCGAGGGCACGGCGCTTAAGATTATGAGGAAGTCCTTCGCGAAAGGGCGATTCCAGTATTAATTGTGAGGACGTCCCGACCGAGAGCGCGATTTCCGAACAATTTGTGAGGAAGTATCCGGCAAAGTATGAGGATGATGACGGTGATAATGATGGTGATGGTAATGTTGATTATGGTGATGTTGATGCTCTTGATGAGGACGATGATCATGATTCTGCTGCTGATGATGAGCATGATGATTATCGTGATGAAATTGATGACCATGTTAACGATGGTAATGTGAGTGATACCATATTCATGTGCTGGTGGTGCAATGGCGATGATGATGAAGCAGACGATGCTGGTCATGATGTTGATGCTGATGATGATGCAGGCGATGATGACGATGATGATGCTCCTGATGCTGATGATGATGCTGATGTGTGGTGATGGGGTGTGGTGGTGGTGGTGATGGCGATGCCGATGAGGAGGATGATGATGGTGATGGTGATGGTGATGGTGATGTTGATGGTGATGGTGATGGTTATGTTGATGTCGATGGTGATGTTGATGGTGATGGTGATAGTGGTGGTGATGATGATGGTGATGTTGCTGCTGCTTATGATGCAGCTGCTGCTGCTGATCATGATGGGCCCAGAAGGACCCATCGACGACGACGACGACGACGACGACGACGACGACGACGACGACGACGCCGACCCCCGGCGGCCGACGACGCCCCCTCGCGTTGCCTCAGGCAGCCCGCGCCCGACGCCGCGGCCCTGCTGCTCCAGCAGCTGCGGCACGGCCACCTGGGCCACCAGGCATGCTGCCCTCGGCGGGGAGGAGGAGGAGGAGGAGGAGCAGGAGGAGGAGCAGGAGCAGGAGGAGGAGGAGGAGGAGGAGGAGGAGGAGGAGGAAGAGTTGGAGGAGGAGAGGAGAGGAGTTTGAGGAGGAGAGGAAAAGGAGGAGGAGGAGGAGGAGGAGGAGGAGGAGGAGTTGGAGGAGGAGGAGGAGAGGAGGAGGAGGAGGAGGAGGAGGAGGAGGAGGAGCAGGAGGCAGGGGCCGGGGAGGCGTCGGCATTGTCGAGATCCCAAATGGGTCGGGAGCCAGGAGAGGGGAGGGGGAGGGACAGAGGCTGGGCGCGTGGGTGCCTGCCTCCTCCACTCCCCCGCGCGGTGGGCGCCCTGCGGGGCCGCGACGGGGCGCGGCGGGGATCCGCACTGGCAGCGCGAGCGCGGCAGGCGGCCATCGCGACGCTGCGGACGTGGCGCCCCCGAGGCGGGGGCAGAGATGAACTTCTGAAGCTGGCGATTGGCCCTCGACAGCTCCACGAAGAGGGCCCCTGCCGTATGCATCGCAGCCCTCGGGGCCCATGGATCGCGACCCTTAAGGCCACCCCCCTCTATGGCCGCGCGGAGCTGCACGCTCGCTGCCATCTGCAGCTGTAGTGCGTGCGAAGCCGCAGCGTGCACTCGCTTGGGCACGAGCAAACGCTCGCGGGCCGGCGCAGTGAACAATTGCAGACGAGGCCAAGGCGTGGACCCAATGATGCAACAATTGCAGACGACCGATAACGACGATGCTTTTCAGACATTTCATGAACACCCCCTCACCATATGTTATGTGCAACCGATGCTGCAGAACGCAAGCCTCAGCGCTTCCTAGCCTTCTTTGCCGCGGGCGCGGCTGGCACATCGTCTACCATGCGCTTCGGCATGAGCGATGCCATCTGGGCGCTAAGGACTTCGCCCTCAGTGATGGCGCATTTGTTCGTCAAAACTGGCACAGACACTGATGGGATAGCTGCAGACTTGATGTTCTTGACTTTCATGTTGGGGGTGCTGTGCCCATCTGAATTCTGCACGAGCCAGAAAGGGATGACGAACGAAGTCGGTGCCTGCTTCAGCCCCCCCAACGCCAGTGTTCGTCTCAGCCTTAGGCATCTTGATGCCACCACTGGGGGCCAACACGATATTGAACGTCAACCCCTTGGGGTCTTTGTACGTCATCATGAACACATTCCCGTCCTGAGCTACGTATACCAGTTTGCCTCTTCATGAATATAGCCGAAGTGAGTGGGGCAAGCACCAGCCCCGCAGCCTCAAACGAACGCGTTGCGGTGGGATCACGAAGCTTAACAGGCGTAGTCACGCCACTCAAGTAGTTGAGACAGTTGCTGTTCTGGCTGTATACATCGTCCAAGGCCAGCCTGATTTTGGCCTCCTTGATACTCCACTGGTAGTCGACCGGCTTGATGGGGGGCATGGTCAACAAACATGTCGATTGTTTCCTATAGGATGGGGGAGCAGCGACGAACAAAGCTGAGACAAGAAGACGGGTGGTAAGCTGAATAAGATGAGGGAGCGGCGAAAGAGAATTCAAATGCATGGGGATGTATATGCATGTCAAATGCATTGCGACGGTATCGCAAGACTGTCCTTCATAATCGTGTACACGACGAATTTGCCACGTAGGAAGTCGTCGATGGGGTGGGATACCGCATTGCCAGTGGCCTGAAGCTTCAACTTCACACCAGTCGCGGCGTCGATGGAGATCAGCTCGTAAATGTTCTCACCCGAGTTGTCGCTCGCCAAGGCGACTTTGGCGCCAACCTCAAACCCCTTGTCACTGAGCTTGTCCACTTGGTTCGGCCACTTGCCCGAAGCGGTGTACTCTTTCACATCTGGGCTGCGCCCCTGCCCTGTCGCGGCTTTGGGCGCGCTGTCGGTCTGTTTCCATGGGCTAGCAATTGATTTGCCAGCATGCGCTGCCGACGCAGAGGTGGAGCTGACCCCGATGTCATTCAGCGTCTTGCAAGTGCCTAAGCGCTCATCGGGCTTGTTGAACACGAAGTGAACTACGCGAGCGCCAGTCAATCCCGCGATGGTGCCGTAGGCGACCTGTGCCTGCCGCGATGCCTTGACCGTTTGCGATCTGTCGCGCTTTCTGAAGGAACTCATCTGCCATCATTACAATCGTGGACTTCTTATCGCTCGACAAGGCGGTCACGTCGCCTGGCTTCTAAAGCATCTAATGACCATCCCTCGCGAACTTACCCGTCGCGCATGCCGTCGCATTCATGCGTGCGAGCTTGAATGTGACAGCGGCCCCCTGATGCTTGATCTGCACGTCGGCGGGGGACTTCGCCATGGGGCCCGTGACCACGCACTGGGAGGTCAGCTGCCGCGAGAAGTCGCGAAGCTCGTTCAGGAAGATCAGGTTGGCGAGGCCGCCAGACAACCCCATCATGTATTTTACTAAGCCATCGATCTCCCCAGGGGAGAGAGAGCCTGCGTGAGTCGCCTCGCGGATGACGCTGTCCCAGTCGATGGTGCCGCTTGCATGGTGGCGGTTCGCAATGGCTGCGATCTTGTACATCAGACTCGTGCGACTCTCGCACCTCGCAATCTGCTGACCAGCATTGCCAGCTTCTCGCGCAAGGTTGCTAATACATGGGAACTGCTTGACAAACTCATATCGCAACACCTTCCATTCGATGTCCTCGTCGCAAGCCTTTGCGTAATCGGGCTGCACATCCCGCAACCTCGTCAATGACAAGTTGCCTTGATGCGAGATTTTGACAAATCACTCTGGCATTACCGAAGGCACTGTAACTCCTGCGTTGAAGCAACGCAGACCCATGCTAGTGTGCTCACACGTATAGCTTGCGAACTTGTCATCGCAACCATAGCGCGGCAACTGGCCTGCAGCATCCTGCGTTATTTCGAAGCTGAACGTCTTGACCGGGCGTACCAACTGGCGGAAGTTCCATGCAAACTGGATTCTGGAGGGCCGAAGTTTCCTGAAGATCTTCGAGATCAAATCCGAAACCTCGTTCGGGATAATACCATCCCCATGCCGATTCTCCATGCACACAAACTTATATTTCGAGTGCATCTTCTCCACCCTGAGGCCATCGATGCTCCTGGCGATCCCGCATACATCTTCAAATAATGAGACCACCGCTGCATCTGGGTGCAAATGCGATTGCTTGATCGCCATCATCTTACCACTGACATCCGCTATCTGCCGTTCACGGGGGGCGTTCATCACGCCGTGTGCAGGAGGACGCCACAAGCGCCAGCAGCAATCCTAGCGCAGACGGCTTGAGCCCAAACTCGACTGACATTCAAAAAAACGTGCAACAGAGGGTCGCACATTCGAAATGTTATGTCGCATTTGCAATGCGCAACATTGTTGCAACGCTCGAGACAATATCCTGGATGCGTTCACACGCAAGTCTAAAGCATGATTTCCGATCTGTATCACAACAAAAGTCCAAACACATGCGTGCGTTTCTGGGGGGAACATCCAAGGAAAACCCGATGCACAGCTCTGATTTTCAAGTAAGCATGTCAAAGTTAGCGGAGTTAGTAACGTTACTAGAGGTTATAACCTACTTGAAACATACCTACAACCCAGTTACAACCTACTTACAACTGCAGCTAACAATTAGCAAGGCCGAGGGCCTTCAGGCGGTGCCCGGGTGGGTGCCCGGGTGCCGGGTGCCCGGTGCCCGGGTGCCCGGTGCTTTGTAGCCCTATAGCTTGATAGCCCTATATCCCTATCGCCCTATAGCCCTATAGCCCTATAGCCCTATAGCCCTATAGCCCATATAGCCATGTAGCCATATAGCCCATATAGCGCCCAAGAGCCCAGATAGCCTTGTAGCCCTATAGCCCTACAGCCCTAAAAAGATTATGGTTGGGGTTTATCTCTGGTGTCATTGCATTGAGCGGTCCGATGCACAGTCGCCTCACGTGTACAAAGGGTTGGGAACGTCCCTGGGTAATTTCGGGGCGCTTCCGTGACGAGCCCGCTGTTGGGGGGCCGCCGAACAGCCCCCAGAGCGATCAGACAGCCATCCCGACGGCCCAGGACTGCCTCGAGCTATCCGTAGCCAAGTTGGCTCAAGACATTCTACCCCGAACGATTGGTGGACCACCCAAGCTCAGTCAACACCTACCCACACTCTTGCGAGCTCACGCATGCGAGCACTCCACACCCTTCCCGTGCGCGTTTTTTATAGCCCATGTCGGCTGTAAAATCTTCCGTCGCAGCGGCCATCCGATTCGTTCTGTCAGCTCACGGTTTGATCGTCGTGACGGGTCGCATGGCCTCCGATGTGCAGTTGATCCAGGCGCGCGTCGTGGACCAGCACAGCTCAAGCTTGCCACCAGACATAATGCTTGGAGGACAAGGCAGTGGCACCAAGCGCGCCGATGTCGTCGGGTGTGTCGACGACGACGAGGGCGCCGTCAGATTTGCAAATCATTGCGCGGATGTCGGCCCGCATTGTGAGAAAGGGAATTTCACCAGCAAGCTTCACGAGCTGTGTTGCGCTACGTGCGGTGACGTCGTGAAGGAGAATCCGCATCTGCACAAGCGCACAGATCATTCCTGGGTTCGGAGCGGGGCGTTCTGTTACGATGGCGTGTGCGACAGCTGCAGCCACTGCGAATTTTGCTCCGATGCGGCGTACGCAAACGAGCGTGGGCATTGCGGGCCAGGGTTTCCGACGCAGGAGTCAGAACCTTGTCATTCACAGGTTACCAATGGACCACTCTATGTCGCGCATGCGTGGGCCAACTTGTCCTCTGAGGAGGAGCTGGTGCATCTTGAAAAGATGTTTGGCGACCTCGACAAGGACGCATCCTCGACCCTCGACGTGGACGAGCTCATCGGCACCCTGATTGGACAGGACCTCGTCGCGCTCGAGGCCACCATGGGCACGCTGCACGTCGACCTGGACAGCGCGAAGCTTCCCAGGGGCTCGGTGCAGGAGTTTGTGGAGAAGCACAGCAAGACCGGCTCCGCGTTCCTGACCCTCGGCGAGTGGCTCAGCGCGAGGGCGCCGCCGGCATCTGATGGCCGGGCCGTCGCGCCGGTCGCGACGAGCAGCTCGTGTTCTTTGTCGACGATCGTCTCTGTTCCAAGCACGTGCACCGTCTCGCAGGCCGCGGAGACCAGCGTGTCCGCATGCGGCAACGTCTGCAACTCCTGCCGGAGGGTGGCAGCGCACCCGAACTCGAGCTCCGTGGCGCGGGCGCCTCAGGAGCTCGAGAAGTGGTGGCGGTATTATTATTTTTATTATCATTATTATTACTATTATTATTATTACTACGACGACTCGCGCCGTAGGCGTCGTTGGATTGACATCATCACAGATGTTAGATGATGTTGCCTGCATAGTGTCTTGTGTATGGCAATGTCAATGGACTTGCTCTACTCGACTTGTAGATGTAGTGGTCGGCTGCGTTGTCGATACGGTTGTGAATACGGTAATGGCATTTGGAGACTGTGTGTCAGCTGTGATAACGTCATGGAATCATGCGGTCATGAACTGATCCCCACATAATGTTCTGGCACGTGGGATTGCTTTACGCAGGCCGCGAGTAGCGCTCTCGACTTCTTCATTTGCGGATTCGCGATTATTCTCGATTCAGCATTGACAATGTTTGGGGCCAATTGTCTTTCAAACGTCGTAGAAGGCATAAATGACGCCCTGTTTCCCCCCGAAATGATTGTTCAAACTGCAGTTGTGGAAGCAATCATGGATTTCGGTGACGCGGTCTACGATGGGATCTATCAAGCAAGTCTAACGGTGGCGTCGACCCTAGATTGGTCTTGGGACGACGCTCCCTCTGCCGAGTTCACTGACTGCGACGCCTTCGAAATGGTAGCAGGTATTGATTCGTGGGACGTGGCTGACATTTTCGGGATGGCGTCCAGATTCTCGGATGCCGTGACGGCGCTGAAGGACTGCTTAGGGAAGACTACAAATCCCCCAGGGATTGGTTACATTCCGACCCCCTTCCTGAACGTTGTTTGGCAAGGAGGCTCTCCGTAGTGTGCCCCAACCTACGTAGTAAGTACGGCGAGTGCAGTCGTTGGTGCGTTCCAGTACATAACAGGAGGACGGATGCTTGATGACCTCAGCATTGTGGGCGATAGCCTCTGGACTAAAATCCAGCAGAGGCTGGAGGCAGTGTTCTGCGACGGCCGCGACGTCACCATAAACTTGGGAGCCGAACTCTCGATGTCGTACTTTGTGCTTGGAATCAAGGTTGCGGCTGGATGTGAGGAAGGCCATTTCAACGCTCATGTAATCGGCTATGCCACGGGCAGAATTCCGATCCTCTCGACGCCGTTTAATCCAGTGCCTATGGTCGATGGAGTGTTCAGCATTAAGTGTGACAAGGGGCCGAATCCTCCGAGCTGGTCGTATTGGGGCTCTGCTCTTGGCGCCATGCTTTCGCTTGGCCCTTTCAAGGCTGCCGTGTCTCTGCCGCTCTGGCCAGAATTCAGTCTCCAGCTTGGCTACGCTTTCAAGGTGACCCTGATTCCCCCGCCGCTGCGTCGAGCCCAAACAGCAGCCTCCGAGCCAGAGCTGGAGGGGCCGAAGTCGGTGCTGCCCGGGCTAAAGTCTCTGTCCAGGGCCGTCTCCGACCCCGGTTTCGGGAGCGAGCTGCCAGACCCCAAGCCTATCCTGGACGGGGTCCGCAACGGATCGCTCCAGAGGGCCGAGCTCGACTGGGACCTCGGCGCCAGGATCTTCATCACCGTAACCAAGAACTTCTGTTTCACGTGCGACGATTGGGGGGGGGGGCCTGCTTGGGTCACGGGCCTCGTCGGCATGGCCACCCCGTACATATGCCAAATGAGTGGGGCGATGGCGGGATCCTCCTGGGGCGCGCTGACTCGCGCCCAGTGTTTCGCCGCGGTGGCAGCTTGGGAGCAGAGCGGCAACCCTTGTGAGATTTTGCATACCGACGCGCCACACGACGGCAGCTTGGGAACCGCGTGTGCTTGCATGCCTGACGACGCGATGACGTCGGGGGTCTGTTCTGAACAGGCTGGAGCCAGGGCTAGTGAGGGGTCGTCCAACTTCCAGGTCTTCCGGAACCAGAGATACACCTGTGAGACTGGGAGCGGAATCGCGTGCAAGAGCTGTGTCTCGCCGCAATCGCGATTGGCGCAAGACCATTGCGAGACCTGCAACGATGGCTTTCAGCTGGCTGGCTACTCGTGTACGCCGCCCACGCCAAGCCCGACGCCAAGTCCGCCGACGCCCAGCCCGACGCCCAGCCCGACGCCCGGCCCGACGCCCAGCCCGACGCACAGCACCCCATCTGGTCGGCCTGGTGCTTGGTCGCAGGCCGTGTGCAAGACTTATTGCAGCGACAATGGGAACTCAGGGCCCATGTTCCAGGCGCCATCTGTGACGCCCGCGGGCGTGACCGGAATGCATTGGGCGCGTCAGCCGAACAACAATGCTGATGCAACTTGCGGATGCATTGTCCGCAGCGTCGACGGCGGCGTGGGAAAGTTCTGGACATCTGTGCTTTGGTGCTCGACCGAGTGTTCGGCTGGATCCGAGACCAATTTCGGCTCCACGACACCGGAGTCGCCAACGAACATAGGTGAACTATGGTATGTGGCGCATGGATGTCCCAGGAATGGTCACACTGAGGTATGCGTGCGCGCCAGATACTTCTTCCAGACGCCCAGCCCGACGCCCTACCCGACGTCGAGCCCGACGCCCACCCCGACGCCAAGCCGACGCCAAGTCCGCCGACGCTCAGCCCGACGACAAGCCCGACGCCCAGCCCGACGTTAAGCCCGACGACGCCCAGCCCGACGCCAAGTCCGCCGACGCCCAGCCCGACGCCCTACCCGCCCGACCCGTCTGGTGGGTGCCAGAAGTGGGACTTGAGTGGCTGGTATGCCGGTACGTATACTACGGTGTTGCAGCCATGGAGTTCGCCGAATGGGAATGCCTGGGCGTGGGCTCAGTGCGCAGCGGCATGCGCTATGTCTGCTACGTGCGAGTTCTGGACGCTGCATCTCAATGGTAACCAGAATTGCCTGTTAATGTCTAACATTGGCGACTATAAGGACGTGGGGGGGCATTATTCAGGCGTGAAGATGACAGGCTGCGCGCCGACGCCCTCCCCGACGCCCAACCCCGCGCCCAGCCCCGCGCCCAGCCCGACGCCCGGCCCGACGCCAAGTCCGCCGACGCTCAGCCCGACGACAAGCACGACGCCCAGCCCGACGTTAAGCCCGACGACGCCCAGCCCGACGCCAAGTCCGCCGACGCTCAGCCCGACGACAAGCCCGACGCCCAGCCCGACGTTAAGCCCGAAGACGCCCAGCCCGACGCCAAGTCCGCCGACGCTCAGCCCGACGACAAGCCCGACGCCCAGCCCGACGTTAAGCCCGACGACGCCCAGCCCGACGCCAAGTCCGCCGACGCTCAGCCCGACGACAAGCCCGACGCCCAGCCCGACGTTAAGCCCGACGACGCCCAGCCCGACGCCAAGTCCGCCGACGCTCAGCCCGACGACAAACCCGACGCCCAGCCCGACGTTAAGCTAGACGACGGCCAGCCCGACGCCCGGCCCGACGTCCAGCCCGACACCCAGCCCGACGACGCCAGGCCCGACGCCAATGCCGACGCCCACTGTCAAGCAAGACATACGGGTCGAGTATACCTCGGATTAAACTCTTCCAGCTGGCGTGACTGCGTCAGACCTCATGGCTTCTACTGTCTATAAAGCGGCTATGATATCCGGCTTTCGTAAGGCGCTATTTATGCCCAACTCTGTCGACGCTGCCATTCTTGGGTTCGCCTTGCTTGGTCGTCGGATTCCCGCGGATGCCCGCCAGCGGTCGAGCATAACAGTCTCTGTGAAGACCGATATCAAGGTGACCGTCCCCGACATCAGCATTGCCGCCATCTTCTCTACCAAGATTGGTGAAGCTTCTACCGCCATCGCAGCCGAGACTGAGAGTGCAATGGCTGCTGCTGACTGGAGCAGTGAACCGGTATGGACTTCGGTCCCTACGGTGACGTCCCTCGTCGTGACCGCTGCCACTGTGACTGCGGCGCCAGCTGGCGCTGCTGTCGCGGCCACAGGTGACCCGCACCTGCAGAACATCTTCGGGCAGCGTTTCGACCTGATGAGGGCTGGCAGGCATGTCTTGATCCAGATCCCGAGGGGCGCGGGCAGTGAGGGCACCCTGCTTCGCGTCGAGGCGGAAGCGCAGAGTCTCGGGACACATTGCAGTGATATGTATTTCCAAGAGGTGAACCTTACTGGCAAATCGGTAGAAAGGAAGCATCTCGGTGGCCTCCAGTTCCGCGCAGCGGACGACGCCACCGAGCCGCCCAAGTGGTTGCGCTTTCGGAGTGTTGACCTGAAACTCGTGCACGGACGTACGCTGACCGGCGTCAGGTTCCTCAATCTGTACGTGAAACGATTGGGGAGCACAGGAATAAGTGTCGGAGGTTTGCTGGGGATGGACGATCACAGCCAGGAATCAACTCCGTCTACACGCTGCATCCGAGAACTGAATCTGGTGAGGTCGTTTAGCTTGCCTAATTCACGTGACGTTCCCGTCGCGGCCGCTGTACAGGGTTAGAATCCTGATCACCGACCGGGGGAGCACATCGACTCCTGTCCTCCTCTTCTCCTTCTGAGGCCGCCTGGTTCGGCAGCGAATGCTGCCCCCGTGAACTCTGCGCGAGGCAGCCATGCAGTTGCAAGCCCGCTTCCCTCCAAAGGAAGCCTTTTTCCCTAAAGTTCAAAAGGGTGTGCAAGGCACTTTGAGGGTAGCTCTTTGGGGGATGTTATGTGTAAGCGGGACCATCGCCTGCGCGTCGCTGCCTTTTGGCTCAAGGCAAGCGCGCCCGATTTGCCTGAATACCTGACTTGGTATTCGCTGTGTGCTGGAAAGACCGATACATCGATCTTCTTCTATCTTATCCGTCCACGCCCCATATTGTATTCCTTCGACATGGAATTGGATGCAATATGACCTACCAGAGTCATTTCAGACTTGGTAGCGGAGCTGGCCGCACTTTCGTGTGGTCAGCTCTTGCTCTTCTTATCCTCACGCTACCGGGCACGATCCTCGTGACCACTCTCTACCCTGCGCCGCCGCTCCACCAACATTTACGAGGATCAATTCAAGAGCAAGAAGCAACACGAGTGGTACGACGTCTAGACAACAACATTGGTACCATATACGCTTCATCACTACGCTATCACCAACCGTTCGGCAACGAGCCGAAAGCGCAGTACCTGAAGCGTAGGCGGGGAGACCCGCAAGATAAAGCGCCTCGTAGACTTGACAAGGCGCCACTATTCCCGCCCCAGCGCGGCAACGCGCCCGATAACCGCCCATACCTCCACAGCCTAGGGTTGGTTATCTTCGCCATTATATGGTTTGCGCTGGGAGCGGCAATCGGACACATGCGCCGAGGGGATAATAGCGCCGATGGGCAAACACATGGCCCATACTGGGGCCCTCAAGGCAACGTACCTTTTCGCGAGTACGTATATGAAGTCAATGCGTGGCTAAACGTCACGAGTGGGCGCATGACACCACAAGCCCAAGCAGCCGCCATACAACGCGGCTTAGGCGGCCTCGCGAGGACACTCGCCATGAGGGTACCACCTGACATCATAAACTATGGTGCGGACATCGACGGTGTCCACAGCGACCCAGTAACATACATCATGTTCTTCCAAAGCATGAAGTTCGAACGCCTGGAGAATGAGCGCCAACTCACCTCAGGCACACAGCTCATCGACTTCCATGTGCCTCACGGAGAACGAATCGATGTAACCCTTACCCGGTTCGAAATGGCCCGTCTTCAGGCATAGTCAGTGGGCTTTGACCTTCCCAACTTCCAACTACTTACGACTATCCTATTCCGCGCCCTAGGCGTTGGCAGCCAGCGAGCCATGCAACTCTTACAGCCACTCAACCACCAAATGCCCCGAACACAACAACAGCATGAATAATTGTGTGAGAGAATGCGCTCGGTAGGCCACTTGTCAGAACGGCCTCCTGGCAACATAGGATCTGCGTTTGGAAGGGGAAGGGGAACTGGCAGTGGAAACTTCTATAGTACTTTAACCTCTGAAGCTCAGCCTGGCAACGGGCCCACAAACATCTGGGCCGATGATCCTGGTGAATCTACTGCCCTACTAGCAGGGGATCGATCACAACCGAGCTGGGCAACCAGCCCTCCTCCTAGAGAACCTCAGCCTCCCCGCTCTCTATGGGGAGAAGCGAACCCCCTAAACGACGGTGTGTCCACCTACCTAGGGAACGACGACTTCGACTCAGGCACCGACACCGACACGATATCGTCAGACGGCATCGAACCACTAGACTGGTCAGATATCATGCACATGGAAGGTGATAATCAGCGCGCCGAGCATCTATTTTGGTTATTACAACGCGCTTAGCGTAGGTGGAGGAGGTTTACACGAAAACCAGTGCGTCGTGTTAGGAGGAGGATAAGGAGGAGCTTCAAAGGTAGGGGCAAAGGCAAACGGGGTCGCCGAAGGTTGAACGGACGAGGCATCACGGCTTTCCTCCAGAGGCTTTCAGATGATCAGTATGATGAGATATTTTTCGGGGGAAAGGGTCGCGGAAAAAAGGCCGTAGGGAAGCCTCAGGCAAAATGTAAAGGTCGGCGGGGAAACCCGCGAGGTAGAGACGGCCAGGTCTCGAAGTGCCATGGATGTGACAGCGCAGATCATCTTGTGAAGGATTGTCCAGTCAAAGGGGATGGAAAGGGCAGCACGTCCGAAGTCTATTTGGGCTCAAGTGAACCTGCTACTGAGTATCCTCCAAGAGTTCGAGGCTGTGGAACAGATCTTTTCACTTGGGTTAGCAACATGGACACGCTGGACGAGATCGAGGCGTACGGCCACGGGCTCTACGCGTACTACCTCGAGTACCTCCGCAGGTTCAACGTCGGAGCCATTGAGCTCACGCCTGTGGATAATAGAACGCTGGGAAACCAGCCCATTGTCTTCTTTGACTGGATGTTCGGCAACCCAGGCAACACCATGGCCTTCGATAGCAGCGACGAGGACGTCGCTGTCGAGGCCTCACCTTCGGAAGTCGAGTACAACCTTCGACAGCAATCTGACCCCTTGCCTGGCCACGGGCCTTCTCCAGTGCATCCGCCAAACTATTGCGAATTGATGGAGCTGGAGGCTCAGGCCTTCACCGTGGGCGTGCCGGGCAATTCTCACGAGCCACCTGGTATGCTCGCGCCGGGTGAGTACGGGCCATGCACGGCGCTGCAGACCCTCATGCAGATGCATGCCGCTCAGGCTGAAGAGTATCCTGATAGTCAACAGAGCGTTGAGAGCGGCCACATGATGCTGGAAGACTCCAATGTTTGTGACGACTCGGACTTGCTGCTGGCGGCCTTCACTCTCATCGACAGCGTGCTCCCTGATGGCGTGCAGCGGCACGTATGGTATGCAAAGGGGCGCTGGCGCCAAGCCCTTCAGAGGGCTATCGCGATGCGTGAATTGGCGCCTCCTCCGCCAGGACGGGGTCTCCAGGCGGTGGGACTACAGCCAAATCATACTGCCATGCGCAACATCATCGGGCAGCCCTCTTATGACTATGATCAGCCCGAGGCTCCCGCCGTGCTCGGCAACGAGCCTAGTCCGACCGCCGCGCCGCCGACGCCGGGACAGCCTAGCGGTGCTCAGACGCCTCCACAGCAGGGGAACCTGCCTGTCCCGACTGGGCCAAAGACCCTTGTCAGTGGCAATCCTACTTCAGAAGTTGAAGATGAAGACGGCTGTGGATTGCGAGGGCGAGACCACCATCCTCATGATGGACTTCAATGGCGAAGACGAGGAGGTGGACTTCGACCCAGACGAGTCCGACGCACAACCATCCGCACAAGAGCCCATCATGCCTGACTCCAGTCAGCAGGGGGACCTGCCTGTCCAGGATGTGCTGCCTACGCCTACTCAGGAAACCACGCCTGCTCCTGCCCCGGCTATGTCAGCAGCATCGTCCGATGAACAGGCCAGGAGGTCTCGCTCACATCCGCGTCTTGGGGACGACGATCCGCACCCCCAGCGACGGCTCCCACGTGAATGGCGGCAGGCAGCTCCATCAGAGCATGCTGCTCGACGGGGAGGTCAGTTGCTCGCCTACAATGACCCTAAGCGCAAAAGGGGCGAGCACTCTGCCTTTGGACAGGGCAATCCGATTTACAGGGACGCCCAAGGCAGGTCCATACGGGGCGGCTACCAGCTCGCGACGAACATTCGACGCCCCGATAAAGAGGCAGTGCGGAGACAGCTGAGAGCCATCATCGAGGAGCGCCGCCGCTACAGGCCCAACGCGGCCTGCGGTCCGTGCTCACAGGAGTTTCAGGAGCACAGATCTGGCTGCCCTGTCGGCCTCAGTGTCGTCTTGAGCCCTAACAGGGGCCGCACTCCTGCAAGGGAGGGTCATCCACCTCTTG